GGGTGTGGGGAAAGGTGGGGGGGATTGCTGAGGTGTGGAGACGGAGCGCTGACACGCGGTGGAGGCACTGTAGGCTCTGCCTGCCCTGGCTGCAAAAACATGCGGTCTTTCGCCGTGTTTGCTGCTTGTTATTTTATTTTATTGGTCAGGGTTGAGAAGGGGGCGTAATCAGCTTGAAACTTACTTGCACGGGAGGTGGAGGCGTTTTCTTCAGCGCGGCTCTCTGCCTGGTCTGCAGCTGGTCTTGTCTGTCTGCGTGCCGTGTTGATGTTGCACTTTCTCCCAAAGATGGCACTGGATGCAAAACATTTTCTTGGGATATTATTTTTCATCCCCTGGGGAGCCAAGCTTCTGGTTGGTACAGCTGTAAATCTTTGCTTTTTCGCATTCATTCACTCTTGGTCTGTTGTGGATTTGTATTTGGTGCATATGAAGAAAGCAGCTTGTTATGTGGAGTGGATTGGAAGTGAACATCTTTGGATGCTGGTTTTTGGGGGGTTTTGATTGTTTTTTGTTTGGTTGGTTTTTCTTTTTGTTTGTTGCTTGTTTTTTTTGTTTGGTTGGTTTCCCTTAATCTGGTGAACCTAGAGCTCACACAGGTGCCATTAAATGTAAAACGAAGTCTTTGGATCAGCAGTAAGACTTTGTGTCTTGGCAGAAGCTGGCGCTGAGCATTTATTAGTAGTCAGAATGATAAAGATGCATAGCTACCTGTTAGAAGAAACCTTTCCTGCTCTGGCCCGTTCCTGTGCTTCCATTCCACTGTGCCCTTTTCTCTCCTGAGTGGAGAACAGCTTCATGCTGGTGGTGGTCTGGGTAGGCAAGACACTTCCTATGATTATGGAATGAGTTCTTTGGAAATGTTTGATTGCATAGCACTCATCTGTCTCCTCTGTCAGGTAAACATATATGACATCTCAAGAAGACTGAAAAGGGACTTTTTCCCTAGCTGTCAGTAAAGGAAAGCAGTTTATTTTCTTGGTTGTCTGTGTAAGTGTGGCATTTCGATACTCTAAATTTTTGTATAGGTGCAAAACTGTCACTGCAGTTTTCTGGATCAGTGTTGTATTCATTCACAATATTCATGTCAATAGCTATGCAGAATGTAAAGGAATGAAAAAGCCTAACATTTATTTAAAAGAGAGACTAGAAGATACTGTATTTATTTGAAAAGCTTTTAAGCTGTTTGTCTTGTGAAAATGGATTTGTTCTTTGTGTTTTTTGTTCGTTTTTTTGTCACTTGTTGTTAAAAAATACCTAATTTTTATCTGACGCCTAGTTCATCTTAGTCTTTTCTACCCATTTTTCTTTAACACCTTGGCCTGTGGTCAGAAAATACTTGAAAATGGACTGTTTGCACCCTTGCTTTAGTTCTATAGGGAACATACTAGATTTGGGTGCTGAATTGCTTTCTTACAGAAAATGACTTTGCCACTTGTCAGTACTTAGTTCTCAGCTCTGTAATGCATATGTGCCACTTTACAAGGAAGACTTTCCAAATGTACTAGCAAGCAAATCTGTTGAGCTTTCTGATGCTGCAGATTGAGACAGAAAAGTGAGAATTGCGCATGTTCTTTATTTTGCCATACAGACAATGGCATCTATGATGCCATACCTGGACTCTCCTCATTTGGCCAGGTCTGCAGCGTTGTTGTAGTCCTCTGCTGAAAGAGAGCAGTACCAGGTGGCTAGGGCAATTTGTGGTTTGCCATATCATTTCTGTTTTCAAAAACTATCCTGTTCTTTATTCTTCTTTTCCCCTTGATCTTGTGTATACATGTACACACACAATGTTTATTTATACTTTCTATCTTCTTATTTTAGGATTTCAGATGCATGCCAGGTTCCCACTGAATGCCAGAAGTAGAGATCACTACAGATGGAGCCCCAAAGTCAACATGGCAATGATGGTTCACTAGTCGTGATTCAGCAGCCCTCCTTGGACAGCCGGCAACGGTTGGACTATGAAAGAGAGAGCCTGCCAACAACTATCTTGTCACTGGACCAGATCAAGGCGATCAGGGGCAGCAATGAATACACCGAAGGTCCATCTGTGGTGAAAAAATCTGGTCCACGGACAGCACCGAGGCAAGAGAAGCATGAAAGAACTCATGAAATCATACCAATTAATGTGAATAATAATTATGAACACAGATCCAGTCATGTGGGGCATGTGGCACATCAGCATAACACGAGGGCTCCTGTCTTGAGCAGATCAACTAGCACGGGGAGCGCAGCTAGCTCTGGGAGCAACAGCAGTGCTTCCTCAGAGCAAGGACTGCTGGGACGGTCACCTCCATCCAGGCCAGGCTCAGGCCATAGATCCGATCGGACAATCCGGACACAGCCCAAGCAGTCGTCTCTGATTGTCGATGATCTGAAGGGTCCTTTGAAAGAGGACCTGACACAGCACAAGTTTATCTGCGAACAGTGTGGGAAGTGCAAGTGTGGTGAGTGCACAGCCCCAAGGGCTCTCCCTTCTTGCTTGGCCTGCAACCGGCAGTGCTTGTGCTCTGCAGAGAGCATGGTGGAGTACAGCACCTGCATGTGTTTGGTCAAAGGGATCTTCTACCACTGTTCTAATGACGATGAAGGGGACTCTTACGCGGATAATCCCTGCTCCTGTTCCCAGTCACACTGCTGTTCTAGGTACCTGTGCATGGGAGCAATGTCCTTGTTTCTGCCTTGCTTGCTCTGCTACCCTCCTGCAAAAGGATGCCTAAAACTGTGTCGAGGGTGTTACGACCGCGTCAATCGTCCAGGTTGCCGATGCAAGAACTCCAACACGGTCTATTGTAAACTGGAGAGTTGCCCCTCCCGGGGTCAGGGCAAGCCCTCATGATTTTTGGAGGGAGGTTTACTTCCTCCAACTTCAGTTTTTCAGGTTATAGCTCACTTTCTTATTTTCCCCTCCTGCCTCTGCCCCATTACGGGCAGGGGGAGCTATCCTTTTGCTTTCCTTTCTGTCTCCCCAGCTTCAAATACTCAAGTTCTTCCCTTTCCTTCTTTGCTCTCCTCTTCCTATTGACTTGGCTGAGTGTGGAGTGTTTTACGTAGTCATTGCTGCGTTTTGGTAAGTGTAGACCTGGTATCTGCATCTGCCGCTTACTTTGGCAGAGTCTTTTGAGTTTGTAAATGAACCACTCCTGAAAGAGACTGTGAGGGATCACTGGGCTCTTGAAGCTTCTTGCTCTGTGAATAACTTCCCAAAGATGTTTTTCATTCTCAGCAATTTTTTTGTTCGTTAACTCCCTGGGTACCAAGGAAGAATAACTTTCATGAGTGAGCTGGATTGTGAAATAATTTTTTGTTTGTTTTCTTTCTGGAGAGGGATATAAAAGGCTTTACCAAATGAAAGGCCTGACTCTTCTATAAGCAGCCTGCTTTTTTTTTTCCATTTTTTTAAATTATTTTTTATTTTTTTTATTCCTCTCTTTTTTTTCCTTAACTTTTGGAACATTCTCAGTCCTGAGAATTACCCCACCCTCTTTTTTACATTTTCAATGTAACTTCATTTTTTGCTACACTATAGATCTTCACATTGGAGACACTGTGGCTGCAGCATACTCATTTGTTTCTTTTGCTATCAAATCTTTGAAGGATATTGCTCACTCCACCCTTCTACTCATGTTTTTATAGTCTGTCAGTATCAGTTGATATTAAAGTTGGTGGTGTTCATATATCCAAACAGCCTTCAGGTGTCATTGAGTCGCCTAAACGTTCTTGAATCCTTAAAGTTTCTTGTGATCTTTTGGTTTAGTGAATTTAGCTCTGCTCTGTACTTTATAATTTTATTCTGTCCCTGTTTTATTGCCTTAGCCACAAATTGTGGTCCTTTTTTTGTATATTTTATGTATAAAACACAAAGTTGAATCCCAACTATTTTTAAGACAAAAGTCTGTTAAAACTTTTTTTATTGTAAAGAATATTTATTATGTGAATCTCTATTATTTTATGATATTTATTGCAAAAGACTTTGAAAATGTACTCATGTCTGAATATAACAAAATATCAATACTTAACGAAATAAGGATGACACAAAGAAAGTACATATGTTAACTATAATGCAGAAAATATATTAATTAATGAAAATGGCTCTTGAGTTCTTTTGTTACAATGAGAGGTTGTAAGCTACATATGCGTATTGCTGGGTTCTTGGGGTTTTTCCTCTTTGAGATCTGTTGGGCAGCAAATAACTTCCTATTGATACTTCAAAACCACTAGTCTGTGCTCTAGTTTAGTTTACCTAATTTTAAGTTTGCTAACTATGTGTTAAGTAAGTTTTTGCTATGGGATGTTCAATACAATTGAATGTATACGTTGTACTTAACAGTGCCAAGAAGTGTAGGCCCTATTTATTTACCCAAGTATTTGGAAATATAGTTGTGGAGGAAGAAACCATAACTTCAAGTTTTTTTTTGTTTAGTAAAGAATACCAAATTAACATGTAAATCTATTTTAAATTTTCCTATATAGAACTTCTTGGGTGGTTAAATTGTACATCAACTAAAGTAATGAACCTATCAAGCTCAAATCTAAATAAAAAAAGCAACAGGCAGGACAAAGAATAACGGTTGTGGTGCTGCTAGCTTTGAAATTTGGAGGGGGGGTGTTTGTGCCTATGCATATGGTTCTTTTCCCGTATGTTTTCCCAGTGTCAACTGAATCCATCTTCTGTCCTTAAATTAAAGGCTCTTAAGGGTGACCTAAGTGTCACAGCTACTTGTGGCCATTTAACACATGTTGAACAAAAAAGGTTTTCATTAAGAGTGAATGGGGAAACCCCATTCTTCTGTTCATGTGGGTCAAGGCTAACATCACAATTCCTTTAAAGTAAAAAGTTTATTAAATGGATGTAATTTCACATTGTGTTCAGAGTAAGTGGTTCTAGAGAAACCCCACTTGAAGAACACAGCGATAACTTGACAGATGTCATATCTTGCATTTTGAAGTCCTACTGCTTTGAATTGTGATATTCAAGCTGTTCTGACTCTTGGCATATTGATGATTTGAATATGCTTGGCTTCTGTAGTTAACTCTATCAAACCTGATCTAGTATTATACAAGAGCTGACTAAAAAGTTGCGTTCTTTATTAAATTGCATGTATGACTTGTGTGAGGTATGTTGTGAAATCATCATCCGGCAACACCTGGGAAACCACTTGGTTTGCAGTATGCAGTGAGTAATACTGCTCTCCCAGTCTCAGTGTGACAAAACTGAGGCTGGGAGGCTTGTGGAGCGGCAGTGTATATACACAAAGCCTGCTTTCCAAGATTTATTCTCAATGAGATGAAGCAAACCCAAGAGAGGAATGTTTCTGATGAGTAAGCAACTTGCTTTGCACTGCTTTCTTACCACCGATACTTCTCAGTGACAGCTGTAGACAGCCCTTGGGAGACAATGAGATCCTTGTCTGTCACCGTTGGTCGTATATGACCATTTTTAAGATTACATACTGACACGCAAAAACACAGTTAATGGCCTTTGCATAAGGATACAATCCAGCTCTGCATTGAGTAAGTTTGCTTGAAAAGTGTTAGTTATTCCTCTTCAAGAAAAACTTCGTGCTGCTCACCTCTCTCTCTCTCTCTCTCTCTCTTTTTTTTTTTTTAAATTTAGCTGACGTGTGTGGGGTTTTGGTTTGGTTTGTTACCTCACAGAAAAGAAGAAGGATCCCAGGGCCCACGTATCTTTTATTGATTGTCTCCTGTCGCGGCTATATGACAGCACTGTTTCGGGTTTCTTTAAAAAAAAAATCAACAAAACCTAGGCTCTTGTTAGTCTGATTAACTAATGTTCTCTTTACCAGCTAAACTCTGGGCATAACTTCAGGTTGCAGTATTGCAGGAGGAAAATTGACTTTGACCTACACAGCAATGAGAAGGTAACAATTTTGACTGCGTGGTATAACCCTGGAGAAGATGGTGTTAAAGCAATGAGCCTAATACTGTTTTCAAGAGTTAGGTGCTGTATCTTTTGTAATTAATACACATTTGTGTATTTGAGTTTACTTTCGGGTCTTCTGGAACATAGGGTGGTTGCCTTACCTTATGGAAATGACTGGGACTTCTTTCAAGGCAGACAGATTTTGTGATGTAGAGCCAAGCAGGATTGCACGAAGGCCCAATTAATGTCTTTCAAGTTGAAAAAAAATTGAGCAAGCTGACAGATGTATGAAGTAAGCCTCCGTAGTTTGAAGCGACAAAAGTTATTTTGACCTTAAGTGGTCAGTCATTATAATGTGTTCTACTTTCTATGATACAACAACTGGAAGGATCATCTAGAGATACTGCATTTTGTTGTAAACGGGTTTGCTAAATGCAAATGAGATTTTTGGTGTTTAGGACACACAAGTGCAAATTTCAGTTTTTCAACCCCCAGTTTGTCAGTGGGCAGTTCAGGTTGCTTTCTACATGTTTGTAAAGTGCCAGATTGTCAGAAGTCCATTACAATGTAGATCATAAAAAATATTTCTTAACTCTTCAGATAGCTTTGAGATCTTATGTTGAAAAATAGAGTTCTGTGTAAAAGGATTGTGTAGTTAGGCAGTAAGTTCAGCTGACCTACTGACCTAATTGTATAGGTTGGTGATGGATTTGAACAAGCCTGCCATCTGGTTACATGTAGCAGAGTCCTGAAATGTGTCATGTAAGGTCTGGGATGAAGGCAAAAGGGAACCTCCAGCAAGCTGAAATTGAAACCTTGGTTTGCTTAGTGTCTTGAAGCTCGTGGTAAGAGATGAGCTTTGGAAACAGATGGTAAATAAGTTTCCGCATTCCCTGCTGGAGGAATACATTGCTAGGGTAAGAATTGGAGAGGGTTGGTTTCTCTAAAGACAGCTTCATTATGCTAATACTGATATGGATGACAGTGTTATCCAAGGGTGATAATGCTTAACAAGTGAAAAGTACTTGCTCTTGTTTATGGTTCCATATCATAAAGACAGGTAGGAGAGGATTAGCTACTCTGTGATAAAGCAGATCTGTTAAGAGGGATTAAAAGGGCTATTTGAAGTGTTTTAATGGACTTATATGAAGTAATAGATTTTTGTCCTGGGGGAATGTTCAGGACTCACTGATACTTCTGTATTTCTTGTTCTGCTAAAATTACCTCCAAATTCTAAGGAATCCTGATTAATTGTTGTCTTTCTTCCAGCTGGAGCATTTCTGTCAGTCATGGTGGTGCTTCAAAAAAAACCTGGAATAAAATCGTGTTCTGCTATCACACAGCTGGATTTACTGGTCTTATAAAGTGCATGGGTTGCATAGGTGGTGGTGTGATCAGGCTTTGTCACTGGGCAAGTTGCTTTTAGGGCAGCACTTAATTATATGTATTTCTTAGCTGGGGTTGTTTCTCACCTTTCTTTCACTGATGAGAGTAGCCAAGGCATGGCTTCTAACCTTGGCATTAGTTGCATGGCCAGATGGGGCCTGTGTTAGCGTGTTTGATACTTAATGGAAGGATCTACTCAAACAACTCCTAAGCTACCCAGAAAGTTACCTTCAGCATGTTCTGCCTCTTCCGTCAGAGCATGGACTTGGGCTGTAACCCATACACGGGCCTGTAAGTTGGGTGGCAAGCACAGCCCACAGTTCAGCATTCTAGTGCTGTCTCAGCATTTAATAATCCCTGCACAGAGTTGTTCAGGTTCTCTGTGTACCCTTGCACTGTGAATACTTGCTGCAAGTGGAGAGCTCTTGAAGTGCACGTTCCTATCAGCAACCACAGTGCAAAAGCCCAGGCCCTCACCAGAGGTTTGCAGGAGGCAGATTCCTGTAAGCATTGTGATAACCATTGAAATCTTCAGTTGCATTTTCTGTTGGTGTGTATGCATGTGCTCT